TTAGGAAACAGTGGTACTAAATAATATCATTATTATGTAAATATGGACCACAGTATTAACAGGTATATCACACATTTAGGAAACAGTGGTACTAAATAATATCATTATATATAAAAATGCACCACAGTATTAACAGGTATATCACACATTTAGGAAACAGTGGTACTAAATAATATCATTATATATAAAAATGCACCACAGTATTAACAGGTATATCACACATTTAGGAAACAGTGGTACTAAATAATATCATTATATATAAAAATGGACCACAGTTTTAACAGGTATATCACAGATTTAGGAAACAGTGATACTAAATACTATCATTGTATATAAAAATGGACCACAGTTTTAACAGGTATATCACAGATTTAGGAAACGGTGATACTAAATACTATCATTTACTTGAGTAATGAAGCACATGACACTAACATAATAATAGATAGACAAACAACAATATAAGCATAAGGAAGAGTTTTACTGATGATGGAACAAAAGATTGGTCTGTCTTCTTCAGCTATGATCTGTACTTAGCAATACAAGGTTTTTATATATATGTAGTTGCAAAAAGAAAGACACAAGGATTAAATATGAAAGAAATGATGTCAGAAGGTGACAGGATATAGGTCAAGTGTACGAGCAGCAAATAGACTTTGCCGAATACGGCTGATGTTGCTAGGGCCATTATCATGGTTTAGTAAGAGATCGTTTGCTTTGATGATTTCTATAGTTTCTAACCAGTCTCTTTCCATTTTAGTTTTAGGTTGGTGTAGGAAAAGAACTTCATCGCAAAGTATTTTGTGACTTGTTTCAAATTGATGACATGTTAAAGTGGATATCTGGAATTCACCTCTACGAATGTGACCTTTGTGTGCTTTGCATCTCATTTCTAAGGAATGCGATGTTTGTCCTGTGTATTTCTTTCCAAATTCACACGAGATACTAAATATGCCATGCTTTTGTTCCTTTGGTAATGATTCTTTCTGGTTAAGTAGTAAGGTGTTAATCTTATGTGAAGGTTTGAACACAGTTTTTACATCAATGCTCAAGTTATAAATTTGTTGGGATGAAATTCCTCTCCTACATCCACCCAAACCTAAAAATGAAAGAGACTACTTAGAAACTATAGAAATCATCAAAGCTGACACATTTCTCACTAAACCGTGATAATGGTCCCAACAACACGATTCGTACTTAGCAAGGTCTATTTGCTGCTTGTACACTTGCCCTCTACGTATATTATGTCACCTGCTGACATCATTTCTGTCACACTTAATCCTTGTCTTTGTAACTAACTTTAAACCCTGTATTGCTTAGTATATATCATACCTCAACACAGACAGACCAGTGTAGTATGTTCCACCATCAACAAAACTCTTCATTATGCTCATATCATTGTTTGTTATTAAATACTATCATTATGTAAATACGGACAGCAGTTTTTACAGGTATATCACAGATTTAGCACAAAGTGGTAATTAATACTATAAATTATTACACATTATGTACAACAGTTTTTACAGGTATATCAGTTATTATGTAAATATTAAAGGTGAGGAAAAACACTATTCAATGGAGGTATTATGAGGATAAAGGTAATCCATCTGGGTCACTGACAAGTACAATTATTAGTAAGGTGGTTGAGAATAAAGGTAATCCATCTGGGTCACTGACAAGTACAATTATTAGTAAAGTGGTTGAGAATAAAGGTAATCCATCTGGGTCACTGACAAATACAATTATTAGTAAAGTGGTTGAGAATAAAGGTAATCCATCTGGGTTACTGACAAATACAATTATTAGTAAAGTGGTTGAGAATAAAGGTGATCCATATGGGTCACTGACAAGTACAGTTATTAGTAAAGTGGTTGAGAATAAAGGTAATCCACATGGGTCACTGACAAGTACAGTTAATTGTCAAGTGACAGAGAAGAATGTGTAACTAAAATATTCTGGAATTGTTCAATTGTTTCAGGAAGCTTATGCCCATGGCTGTAGAAACGTTCCTAAGTTACACTTGTAAGATAAAAATTGTTTGGTACTTACCCACTTAGTAAGATACTTTCTCAATCTATACTAAACTGAGCATGCAGCAAAGTTAAATGTCTTATTTCGTAGCTAAATATAATAATAACAATAGTTCAGAACATGAAATGAAATGTTCTTATTTTCACTTTCTTACCTGCAAATCGATTTGTCAGAAGGACAATATTAGTTATGCAAAAAACAAATCTCCCCAAACAGTTTATGAAATATTCTAATGAAAAATAAGTCTCATGTTTTCACTAGGTTCAGTAAAAATAAATACAGGGTAAGAAGAAGCTAATTTTGTAATGATGATGTTCACAGACATGCAATCCAAAGGATATCAACTTGTTATAAAGAACTTTAGCATACTATCATTATTAACAATACAAAGTTTGGTTACTTTTATCTTCTGATTGATTCATAAGCAAAGACCACAATATTCCAATTAAAGGCTATCATGCACCAGATAATCTATAAATTAATTGAGTGAGGAAATGTCCTTCAGCCTCCAATAAACTTGTATAAACAGTTGTTGTTTAACACTTACAAAAAAAAACTCAATTATCAACAAGAATAAGCAGCTACCTGACCTACTCACAAGTACCAAGAACACAAGAATAAGCAGCTACCTAACCTAAATACCACCATCATCATCAACAATAAGTTACTTAATCTGGTGAATACCACCATCATCATCAACAATAAGTTACTTAATCTGGTGAATACCACCATCATCATCAACAATAAGTTACTTAACCTGGTGAATACCACCAACACCGATGGTCATGTGCCACTAAACAGGAATGATGACATGAAAAGTATGAAGATTTACTTATTTAACTTCTTCAGTGTTTCACTAAATCACAGCCGTTTGTAAACATGATAAAAATGTGCAGATTAAGCATTCACAGGAAAAGTTTCAGTCGTCCAATAATGGTTTAGTTACCAATAATGGTAACTAAAATGTAGTTTATTACCTCTATTTTAAACAGTTGCTGTGTTCCTGCATCCTACACAAGTTTTAGCCTAGGGTATTCCATTTTAAACAGTTTCTGTGTTCCTGCATCCTACACAAGTTTTAGCCGAGGGTATTCCATTTTAAACAGTTTCTGTGTTCCTGCATCCTACATAAGTTTTAGCCGAGGGTATTCTATTTTAAACAGTTTTTATAAAATAGAATACCCTAGGCTAAAACTTGTGTAGGATGCAGGAACAAACAGTTTCTGTGTTCTTGCATCCTACACAAGTTTTAGCGCAGGGTATTCTATTTTAAACAGTTTCTATGTTCCTGCATCCTACACAAGTTTTAGCCTAGGGTATTCTATTTTCAACAGTTTCTGTGTTCCTGCATCCTACATAAGTTTTAGCACAGGGTATTCTATTTTAAACAGTTTTTATGTTCCTGCATCCTACACAAGTTTTAGCCTAGGATATTCTATTTTAAACAGTTTCTGTGTTCCTGCATCCTACATAAGTTTTAGCCTATGGTATTCTATTTTAAACAGTTTCTGTGTTCCTGCACCCTACACAAGTTTTAGCCGAGGGTATTCTATTTTAAACAGTTTTTATGTTCCTGAACCATACACAAGTTTTAGCCGAGGGTATTCTATTTTAAACAGTTTCTGTGTTCCTGCATCCTACACAAGTTTTAGCCTATGGTATTCTATTTTAAACAGTTTCTGTGTTCCTGCATCCTGCAAAAGTTTTAGCTGAGGGTATTCTATTTTAAACAGTTTCTGCGTTCTTGCATCCTACACAAGTTTTAGCCTAGGGTATTCTATTTTAAACAGTTTTTATGTTCCTGCATCCTACACAAGTTTTAGCCGAGGGTGTTCTATTTTAAACAGTTTCTGTGTTCCTGCACCCTCCATAAGTTTTAGCCTAGGGTATTCTATTTTAAACAGTTTCTGTGTTCCTGCACCCTCCATAAGTTTTAGCCAAGGGTATTCTATTTTAAACAGTTTCTGTGTTCCTGCATCCTACACAAGTTTTAGCCGAGGGTATTCTATTTTAAACAGTTTTTATGTTCCTGAACCATACACAAGTTTTAGCCGAGGGTATTCTATTTTAAACAGTTTCTGTGTTCCTGCATCCTGCAAAAGTTTTAGCTGAGGGTATTCTATTTTAAACAGTTTCTGTGTTCTTGCATCCTACACAAGTTTTAGCCTAGGGTATTCTATATTAAACAGTTTCTATGTTCCTGCATCCTACACAAGTTTTAGCCTAGGGTATTCTATTTTAAAAAGTTTTTATGTTCCTGCATCCTACACAAGTTTTAGCCCAGGGTATTCTATTTTAAACAGTTTCTGTGTTCTTGCATCCTACACAAATTTTAGCGCAGGGTATTCTATTTTAAACAGTTTCTGTGTTCTTGCATCCTACACAAGTTTTAGCCCAGGGTATTCTATTTTAAACAGTTTCTGTGTTCTTGCATCCTACACAAGTTTTAGCGCAGGGTATTCTATTTTAAACAG